TTGCATTATCCAGTGATTCAATTCTGAATAATTACCATTATCACAGAGGGTAGGCTTTAAAGGATTTATTACCTGTCCCTTTCCTGCTGTTTTATGAATTACCTCTCAAAAACCTCGCGTCGTGTGTTAAATTTTGAGCAGGTTTCGTGGATGTTCACATCTGCTCATCGGGGAACGACGACGCATCAAGTGAAAGATGTTTAGCAGGACGGGCCTCAATCGTCGTAGATGGAGTCGAAATGGGGGTCACTGTAAGTATCATGCATTCATAACCATTTAATTAAAAAAAGAGGAGCTAGCCAAGCAACGCAACAACTTACACAAAATCATTTGGAAAAACCAAAATCTAAAGTAAAAATTATTGTAAAAACGTCGCATGTCACGTTTCATTTTGAAAAGTTACCCGTCATTCTCATAACGAAGACCGGGCCAGACGTTTACAGCTTCGCGATTTTGTAATATATATATTTAGCCACAGCTAAAGGCGAAGCTCCCATTGATAAACTTATAACTTAAATCAAACAATAATTTTGTATTCCACAAATCAGTTAACTTAAGGGCACATTCATGTGACTTTTGAGGGAAAAGCTAAGTGGTTTTGGAGTGAAACAAATTTTGTATAGAGTTGATATTGCCTTATATGTACACCCAAAAAATGGTCTTGGGTCACATTTAAGAGCAATGATGGCTGTTGATCACAGAAGATAAGGCGTGGAAAACAAATTCTTGGAAAACAAATCAGACCGAATTTTTTGCGTTCGACAAGTTTACAAATTCTTGCCAATAAATCTGGGTGCGTGCAAACCAATCTTTTATTTTTTTTATACACCACATCTGAGGAGAAAGAGTACTATGAGGCGCTGTTTTTATCATACAGACCTCGTAAAAAATGCAGTATTTCACAATTTTTCAAGACAAATTGCATTCATTCAATATTCAGGACCATCGAAGAACTCGTGGACTCTTAATTAGCGAAACCGTTCAAAAAATTTCCAAAATCACCTATACGGCCAGCCGGTTCTAACTTTTGACAAGCGCCAAATTTGCGAAGAAATTTTAAAAGAGTTACGCTTCAACGTGATAAAGAATTTATTGAGTCTATTTTTTATTAACGGTTTTATAACGATGTGTAATCTTAAAAAGCGTTTGATACGCTTGGCATTTTGAGTACTCCTGCAAGCGATGTTTATGAATGGCTGAAAACAAACGGCAAAGCGATGAAAATTACACTTTTGAGACTACCAAAAATCAATAAAAAAAATAATTCGATTGAACATTTACAGAGACAACAATTTTCATTCACGAAAACAAATGAGTATTTAAACTGTGTCTAAGAATCCTCAAATCTTTACTAGTAAGCTTAAAGTTTATGTTTTAAGCCGCCGGTTTCCCGGTGTTGGCTGTTTTCAAAGATGAACTCACTACAAGAAAATCGTTCAAAGCTTTCCTTCTACAGCCAAAACTGGTTGAATTTTTGAGATAAATTTGAAATCAAAATCGTAATAGTTCCGGGGCGATACTGACATACAAAAGTAAACGTGAGCCTGCGATCATTTGAAAACGAGTAAATCGTCAGCGGATAACTTCAAAATTATACTCGACCTTGATAAGTCGACACCTGAGCCCGCGATTCGGTTAGGTGATAAAGGTAAGCGGATACCCCGATTTGACACCTGTCAATTGATGACAACATTGATGTGCAATCAGCTTTCTCCTAGGCTCCCAAAGTAGCTAGAAAGTGTGAGAGTAAACATTGGTATGCCTGTGGTGCGGACGGACGGTCGGTCGGTCGGTCGGTCACATGATTACCAAATTTTCTGGGATGAGTAAATTTCCTTAGCTATTGGGCTCCGCCCACGCGCGCGCTTCGCGCGCGCGTGGAGCTCCGCTATTATGCGAAGAAAGAGAATAGGCCATTTGCACTAATAGGTCATGTGACATCGTTTTTATGAAAATGAAAGTTACATGATTTTTCCTTCCAAAAACGATTAGTGGGTCGTATCTTAAACAAAATAATATAATTTAGTTTTTTAAACCCGCACCATTTTCTTAAAATGAGGAAGTTCGTAGCTGGTCACGTGACCAAATTGTGATTTTTAAAGTTATGAATTACCTTTTTCTGAACACAAATTTTGCACTTAAACTTCAAGGAAAATGTTCAAAAAGATGATGTGTAACATTTGCAGCACATCTGAGCGTAACTATTAAACTTTTAACAAGATATGAGCAACAAGTAGTTTAGGCCGCCATGTTGGAGGGCAAGAGTATCCCCTCCAACGTGGCGGCCAATACAAATCATACTACTTCGTTGAAAAATCAAAGTGCCATAAAATATCTCCCTTAAATGCGTTTCCTGTCAAATTTCTGTTGTAAATTTTTGGCATCAGCAAAATTCCAACTCATTGTTTAAAGGAAGCATTGGTCACGTGACCTCTTAGTGCAAGTTGCCTATTTGGTTTAACTCTTTAATGCCTATCCCAATCCTATACTTTTTATTGCACGGAGACGCTAGTTGGACTCGGAAGGGCGGGGAAGGGGAGTTTGAGGAAAAATTCATCGTATCAATCTTGCCCCCCAAAACCATTTAAAGCAGTAATAATAAAAAGCAGTATATACAGTTTTTACTTGTTTCAACACCGCATAATAGCGGAGCACCATAGCTAAGAAAATCTACCCATCCCAAAAAATTTAGTGATCACGTGACCGTACACCGACCACCCGATCTCTCGTCGGTCCGCATCACAGGGAACCAATGTTAAATGTCACACTTTCTTGCTAGTTTGGGAGCCCAGGTGCAGCGTGATAATGCACCTCCTAGGCCTGTTGTGATCAATTGAAAGCTGTTGAAACAGGGTATGCGCTGACCAGTATAACCTGCCGTATCGCTCTAGGATCGACCTATCGAGGTCGATTATTTTTTGAAGTTAGCTGCTGACAAGTTACAAGTTTTTAAAATGATCGTAGGCTCAAGTTCAATTTTTTTAATTGCATACGAAATAAGTTTAAAAATTTGTTTTCAAGCTGATCTCGGACGCCAAAATTCAGCTATTACAGGCATTGAAAGCAGTTGCTTTTGACTTTTGACTCACCGTGGTCACGGTCTACGTCCAATTTTTATGCTCTGATCGGTCAAAATTTGACAGGTGAGTTCATGCAGAAAATTTATGCAGCATCTGCAGACTTGTTTACTGATAGCTGAAGTTGACAGAGTTTTGTGTCATCTTGTGATGTTTTCAATGGTCTTTTTCCATTGGATGTGCAAAATGAAATACAGCTGCTTTCAAGATTCTTCTGTTATTCCTGGCTGGTTGGTTTTTGGGGTTTTGGTTGAGAAATGTCATCGGAAATCCGATTTCGGATGGCATCGTTTTCATTTTGAACCTTGCTTGATGCGTAATAGGGTTTAAAAGTCTCAAGCGATTCTGGCCTTACTTGATGGCTTTCAGGAGCTGCATCTCGACTGGTAAGCCTGAGTAATCATTGTATTTGATGTTTGTTTAATTTTTTCTGGTTCCATGAGGTCGAGCGTAGTTCATGCGGCTATTTAGTTTAAGCACCTTTGTAAGATTTGAGACAATAATCTTACTATCAGGTTTAATATAAGCTTACAGAAAGTTTTTAGATATTTTCTGACCGCTGGGCATTATGGAATTCTCTTCATGAAAATGTTTCATAATGTGGTCAATTCTATACTTTGCTGTGCAAAGGAAGCGCGTTCGATCGTCCTGTATATTGAATGAGTGGGAATTTTTCTTGAAAAGTTATGAAAAACTGCAGCTCTGTCCGAGGTCTGTAAAACTGATTAAAAAAAACAAAACAAAGCAAAACAAAACAAAAAAAACAGCGCCTTATAGTACTGCTTACCTCAGATGTGATGTATGAAAAGTAAAAAGGCTGGCTTACACGCCACCAGATTTGTTGGCAAGATTTTTTAAAGTGAACTTGTCGAACACAAAAAATTCGACCTTATTTTTTATTTTCGCCTCTCTTTTAGACAAAGGAATGCAACCTATAAATTACAACGGGTAAATTGGCTGCCACCTAGGACTATCGTGTCTTACATCCGGCCTTCATAGCATAATGAATTAAATTTCGGTGCTGTTCAATAACATTATAAAATAAAGGTGGTGTAGGTGAGCGACTGGGTTACTTTGTTTGGGAAGAATTTGTTTTCCAGGCCTAATCTGCTGTGATCAAGAGCAAATATGGCTCTTGACTGTGATCGAAGATTATTGCAATTTTTTCGGGGTACGGATAGGGCTATTAATTCGATGCAAGATTTGTTACACTCTTGGAATGTTTGCAATTGATTTTCTCTAAAATCTCTTAGCCTTTCCCTGAAACGTCACATGAATGTGCCCAAAGGTTAACTGATTTGTGGATTACAAGTTTATTGTATGATTTAAATTATCAATTTTATAATGGGAGCTTCGCTTTTAGCCCTGGCTAAATCTCTATATATATGCTCTGCAATTCTGCATTTTATGTTGATCGAGAAATGCTGAACGGATGACTTCTAGTGTGATAATGTTTTTTTTTTTTCAGCAAAGAGGATACAATGTTGTGGTTCTCGACAGGGAAGGAAACTTCACTGATTTTGGAGCATTTGATTTTCATGCTTACTCAAACGCTGATGACTATTTGAGTGAATTTTTAGCCTATATTGCAGACAACGCCATCGTGTTGATCGCCGTAATGGATGAAGCTTGGTTGAGTGGTAACGCACCTGAAAGTGACAAACAGGCAGCTGACCAACAGCTGACAAGCTTAGGAGCCAAAAACCCCAGACCATCTGAATATCGTGCATCATGGGCCCTGGTTGGGTATAAGGGATCACACGAGGGAGTGGATTGGGTGAGATTCGCAGAAGCGCCAAGAATGCAGGGGCCGACAGAGATAGGTGTAAAGATTCCCACACCGTTACATACCTATGGTTGCGCCTAACCGTGAACACTAATAAAAGAGTGTTGTCTTATTTGATTTATTATCATGCAGTTGCTTTAATAAATGTTGCAATACACAAAGTTTATATCTCCGCGTAGGTCGTCAAAGTTGATGTGGCCCCAGCCGTAAGAGTAGGTATCCACTAAGCGAAGAAAGGCTTTCTGACCGACAAATTCACTTGCATCCCACGTCTGACGAGCCATAGTCTCTGTACATTTTCCAGTTGCTTTTCTCACCACCTGCAAAATATAAACTAGAGTTGAAGCTATGTAAAAACAAAATCCTTCTCATACAAAAACCACATCTGGAGCAGGGTCTTAAACCATGACAATATTAGCTTCTATTTAAGGATGAGACAAATGAAAGTTGGTTCCCTATTTAAGGACCAAACCCGAAAAATGACACCATATATTCAACGAAAAAAATTAAGAATCTAATGGTAGCACATAAATCTCCAATGAATCGCTTTCAGGTACCCTTTCCTATTAGGCTAAGGGATCAGATGACTTATTTTCCTCTAACTTGGCATTTACACACTTGAATCTTATCAGATACAATTAAGGTGCCTTACCTATGGGTCACACCGGGAACACATCGCCAACAAGGGGAAAAAAGATACTCTTATGGAGGATAGAGACCCTCAAAAACCATACCCTGCCTGGTGGAACATACCATCTCCCACAGTTACTCGTAGTTTAACTTTTATAATAAATCTCTCAATTACCACTGGAATATTTCCAAATGCTTGGAAACGAGCTAGAGTTTCGCCAATATTTAAAGAGGACCTCAAGACTGATCCTAACAACTACAGACCTATCTCAGTTCTGCCTGTAGAAAGTAAACTAATTGAAAGAGTTGTTTTTTCACCAACCATATGAATGTCTAAATGATAATAACTTGTTAACTGAATCACAATCTGGCTTCAGACCTATGTTTTCTACTGAAAAAGCTAAAATTGAGGCAACGAATGAATGGCTATGGAATATTGACAAAAATCTCTTACATGGTGTGATACTCCTGGACTTGAAAAAAGCCTTTGACTCCATGGATCGTGCTATCCTACTGGGAAAGCTTAAACTCTATGGGGTCAATTCTCAATCTCTTAACTGTTTCGGGTCCTATATATGTGACCGAAAGCAACGAACGTTTATTGATGGAGCTCAATCTGATTTCTGTAATATAACATGTGGTATTCCACAGGGTTCTATTAAAGGTCCCCTCTTATTTACTATTTATATTAATGATCTCCCTTCATGTAATTTGTCTTCAAAACCCAGAATGTATGCAGATGATATCACCCTTACCTCATCTGCACAAGACTCATGTGTCCTTGAATATAAAATGAATTATGATATGAATTTAATTCAGTCATGGCTGTCAGCAAACAAATTACCTTTGAATGTTAAGAAGACTAAATAAATGCTTATAGGGAGTAAATTTAAGTTATCTCAAATAAACAGTGATTTCACAGTCAAAGTTAATAATACACCGTTAGAAAGAGTAATTAAACATAAATCTTTTGGAGTTCAAATTGATGAATCTTTGAACTGGCGCCCGTTTTAAAGAAAATGTACGCTGGTCTTGTTATGTTAAGGGAGCAAGTCATTTTATACCATTTGATATTAGAGTGAATATGTATAATGCACTTGTAATGCCATATTGTAATTACTGTAGTGGTGTATGGTAATATCAATAAGGGACTAGAGGACAAATTTCAAAAGATGCAGAATTGGGTTGTTAGAATTCTCACCTTTTCTAACTATGAGGTTCGCCCATTTTTTTGTCGGATAAGCTTGGCTAGGAAAGGTTAGAATATGTAAGACTTAAACAGTCGGCTCTGACAATGTATAAAATCCATAATGATCTTTACCCGTGATAAATGAGGCGGATCTTTACCAACACCTCAAATGTACACTCCCACAATCTTAGAAATTCGGAGTTAAATTATTATGTCCTCAGACCCAGAACTGAGTCTGCAAAAGGGAGCCTACACTACAGAGGATCTGTTCTGTGGAACAAGATTCCCTCAGAGATTAGAAACCTGCCTAGTTTAAATGTTTTCAAAACTTCATTTCATGGGAAGGACAATCTAATACACTATGACTCATTGTAACTATTATTATAATATAAGTTTTTGTATTTTTAGCTTTATAGTCAAGTAGTTTCTTAGAGTATTTTCGTATAATTTTACACACGATTCCTAGGAAGACCATGTAAAAGTGATACGATTTCGTGTATAAATAAAGATTGATGATGATGATGACCTATTTAGCCCATATATGGGAGCCCCGACCCCGACCCCCCCCCCTCCGCCCTCTTCACCAGAGAAGATAATCTCAATCGAGAATGAATATGGTTTTTGACTGTACGAGGTTTGTGCGGACAAAGTAATTAGTGTATATAAATCTATCTTTAATGCGCTTGTTCACCTGGTTGTTTATAACCAACTCCGCTCTAGCGAGATTAATGTCACACCCTCCCCCAATTAAAAAAGACATCTTGCCGCTGGCAGCGATGGTGAAAGGTGGAGATGCGAGAGTTCCCTGTGGTCCGTCGCCTTGTAATAATCCCGCTGGGGAACTTGGACTGGGACGGTTTTCCGCACCTCCAATCCACCAATCTCCCTGTTGGTTTGCAGGCTGCCCTCTGCCACGTGCTGTCGGGTTGTCCCCATAGGTTGGCTGATTATTAAACGCAGTTCCAGACTTAGTCCAGCCATCAAGACTTCCACTTTCAAAGTCGAAATGACAAGGAAAACAACCTAAAGTACAAAAACAGATCTTCATTGGTAAATCCCAGGGCATTTTGCTCCGCGGTTTTCAAAGTGTAATTTATTTTAGCTTCTAGCAGGGTCGATTGCAAACAATTAAGTGCAAGGGTATCACAAGCCGACCACAACTTGGTACTACGCCCCCTTCCCGGAGGAGAGAAATACACACCCTTTTTCAGTCATCAATAGCAGCAACCCATCATTGATATCAGTTAAGTATTTCAAAACGAGGATCAAACATTATGGTAGAAGGATGATTGTCTCATCCATATAAAACAAGCAAATATCTACATGGAATGTCCTTTCTCAGGTTTTTTGGCACTTTCTGTTGACCCATCAGAAAGTGCTCCATATTAACTCCTCTAAAGCCACTGCGATACATGTATCTTGGAAAGATCTTTACGAACCGTGACAACTCCAAGTTGCTTTAAGTTTCCACTTTAGTAATTCTTCCACGTGAACACCAAGCGGTGACACTGCAATATAAAGAAAGGAAAGAGTAAGAATTTAATTTTTAATGCTAGTGTGATTTTTGAGTCGTAGTTCTTCGGTCGCTCTCCGGTTGTGGTGTTTATCTTCTACAAAGAAATATGCGAAAGATCTATTATTTCGAAAAACTTTGAGTTTCCTTTTTCTTTTCTTTAGTTTTCTTTTTTTGCTTCGTGGTCGTATTCTAGACCCGATTGGCAAATATAAAATGGCTTTTTTAATAGACCAATCATGGCTCGCACTCAAATCTTGGCTTTTTGGTGGGGACCCAGAAATAGAGTCATTTCCACGCTGTCTCGTAGACGGACTTAATCAAAAGGTTTTTTTCTCGTCTGTGGCTAAGGCTAGGGCAGATGATGTGCGCCCTATTTTCTGTTGACATTAATTTCGCGACATCCCTACTATCTGAGCGTGGCGTAAGCCAGAACTAAATATTCCCAGGCTACCTGGTGCTCCATTTGTCCATCATCTTACAGTGTTATACAAACTATTGCTCTAATCCCTACAATTACACGGAAGGAAACGCGTGGAAACGCTGAATGGCATTCTTTTAACTAGAATTTCTCCGATCCAGTATCAAAGTTTTATACCTCTCCACTTGGTGCCGCTGGTTGAAGTTACTGTATGCTCAGTCGGTGGTGTCTTGTTGGTGTCATTGATAATCAATTCACTTCCAATCATAACAGCAAGATTTGTGGTGCCTTTGACTTTAACGGCATCCCAGTCATTCACTGAGACAGTGATGAACTTTGACGAATGATCTTGAGTGCTTTTCAAAACCGTTCTTCCGTTCGCAGTTACTGCATATAAAATGTTTTCCACCGTGTCATGGCCAAGAATAGAAATTATATTCCAATGCATAGCTGAAAAGGGACAAACATATAACTCAAACGAATCGCCTCGTGCACGGAAATCCAAGAAAATCAAGGATTCCGGATACTAAGCATTGGATTTCAGATTCCATAAACTGGATTCCGCTTCCCTAGTCAGAGGAACTTGGAATCGGGAGTACAATCTGTTGCAGGATTCCGGATTCCTTAAGCTGTATTCCTATTTACAGAACTCCCAAATCGACAATATGAAGGGGAAAGAAGGTAAGTAAGAGTAGTGAAGTAGAGACCGGTTAAACCCTTTTTTGCCTATAAATATCATTAACTTGCGGCGTCCTTGTGTCATAAATAAAATATCGTCAACGGTTTGACCCGTTGGACAGGTTTTCTATAGTTATCCCTAGGTTGATGAATTTCTTCCTTGTCTTCCTTTTTAATGACATTCCACCGCCACAAAACGGATCTAACCAGTCCCCACTATACTACTAACGAAACATTATACTACTATCGACCAATTACACGAACCAAACACGTATTGTTCATAAAATTTCTTGTTGGGATTGGTAGAGCTAATTGTTAATAGCTGATATCGTGTGACGAACAATATAACGTAAATTGTAATTTTAATAATAATTTAGAATAACCATGAATAATAAAAATCAGGGGGACTGAAATTTATGTCGTGGCCATTTTACGTGCTGAAAACCAACAGAGAATCTATATCTTCTTGCAGCGATTTGTTTGAGTGTCGACGAATGTCATAGATGAATCTTTTACCACAGATAATTCTAACTTTGTTAAAAAAAAATATTTTCATAATAGTATCCCTATGATAAAAATAATTCTACGAATAAAAAAATAATGATTCGAAGAAGAAACTCAGTAATTAAGAAATGCAGAAGATGGAGACAAACCTGTCCACGAAGCACCCATGTCCTTGCTAAAAAAACAGTTGGGCGAATGCTCTGAATGCTCCTTGCTAAAACATTGACGTGAAACGTACTTATAGTTAATGCAAAGTGCCAAATTTAACCTCCAAGATGGTGTGAATTTCAGCTACCCCCTCGAGTCCCATACTTCCGCATTTGAATTGGACGTCTGAATCAACTAGCCGCTGTGTGTATTGCTTTCCGTTAATTTGACTTCCGCTTTGTCTTTTGTCATTTACATGAACTGCAAGAGCAGTAGAAAATTTCCACACTTTCAACTGCTTTCTATACTAGACTGGCACTGACAACAGAATTCTGAAGTTGCAGGAACTAGCTTGCTTTGTGATTAAAAAGTCGTTACGCCTCTCGCCAGTGGCAGACAAATTCTTGAATACGAAGATCCAAGTCTACTTAAATTAACGGTGGCCTATTACTTTGCCAAGGATAAATAACAATTATTCACCGAAGTGCAGGTGGCTAGTGGTGGTTATTTACCAAAGCCCCAAAGCAGCGAGGTATATAACCACCACTAGCCACCGACACTGAGGTGAATAATTGTTTTAGTATATACTAAAACAGTTAGATAATTGAGCACAAAAATGATGATTTTTAACTAATTTACTGTTACCAACGATTACAATTTTGGCGCGCAATGACCGAACGGCCGTGGTCGTCGCTTTTTCTTGCCGGCAAATAAAAGTTTTGAAGGCATTTGTTTAGCTCTTGCGGGGAAATTTCTTCAAAAGGAGTTGTGAATTCTTTTTGTATTTAAAATCATTATGTAAACAAGATTATTAAATTTAGTTTTAAGCTTATTTATGAACAAGTCAACTAAATAAACGAACGCAAGACTTATAATAATAAGCTTCATTAGTATTTGTAAACAAAAAACTTTTTCACCGGTTTTAGCGATAAATTCAAGTCAAAAAGACAAAGCTTTAACTGTTAAAACTTCCAAACCGAACCTCGTCACCTTCTTCGTGTATTTCGGGAACAGCTTGCTTGATTAGTTGTGAAATTTCTTTGTTTGTTACGGCAGCAAACCGGGAAGGCATTTTGCTCCGAAGTTGCGCAAGTTTGGCGTCGCTCGCTCGGAGGAACTGGAGGTGAATCAGTGAATAGTGCAGGATATTCACTGATTGAGTATCCAAACAGAGCGCACGAAAAACACTATCCACTGTTTTAGTATATACTAACTACATATATTTTAACTGAATGATTTCTTGGTTCGACTGCCCGAGTTTACTAAATTCTGCTCTAGCCATGTGGTAATGGGAAAGCTGAATATAGCGTGGAAGACATGAAAGATATTTTTTCAAAGAGTGGAATAAAGAACTGACCTCTTTCAATCAGGCTCATTCAGTATGCTTCATGGTATTTTAAGCTTCCAAAACCTTAAACTAGCCTTCTGAATAGCGCATTAGTGGCGTTTAAATGTTCACACAGTTGAATTTTACACTGGTGAGAAAATGACGTGAGTTTCACGCTCGGGCCGACTCGTTCTCTCACCCAAGTGGTCAGAAATAAGTACTGGCGGATAACTAATCTAATAGGCCATTTCCGAATTTTCCCAAAGACCCAGTTTCAAAGCAAGGCTAAGTGCGAAGCCGCTGATATGAAAATGACTTTTTTTGTCTGATCATGCAGGTAAAACTCATTTTCATTTTCTCATTTTTTGAAAGTGAAATCCTTTGGAACTCGGAAATGGCCTATTAGACTTCTCCCTGAAATAAAGTTAGCTGTGGTTAATGTTTGCAAAATTTCCTTGATTTATAAATTGCAAAAAAAGAAGTTTGTTTGTAGAAGGAAATTAAAGGCTGCTTCATACGCTCGCATTTACGATTTTATGGAGTTCCTTCCATCCGTGATGACAGAGTTTCCTTAAATGGTTCTAGTCAAAAATTGGTGGGGTCTATTATCGGTATTTAAAGTACAAGGACGCCTCGTCTGTCTATCAACGGCCTCTTAAGTTTTTTCTCCAAATCATTTTCAAACTTGTTATCTTCACTGATTTTAGGGAGTTCCTTCCAGCCGTGATAAAAGATTTTCGTTAGGTAGTCCCAGTCAAAAATTTAAAAAACAGTGGAGGGGGTGTGGAGGTGGGGTGGGTAGGTCTATTATCGGTACGTACATGGAGGCTTCTTCTGGTTTGTTCTTGCTTACGAACTTTTTATCTCTAAAAACTAAATAGCAGAAGAAAGAAGCTACAAGCCTTCTGTTTAGTGGATGGAAGATCTCACCATTTCACGTTACAAATGTACATGATGTCCCTTGTTTTGTCCAAGTAATATCCGCGACTTGTAAACTTCAAGGAACCTTCGCAAGTAGTAAAAAAAAATTGTCATTGTGAGATCTTGATAATTTGAGGAAAACCTCTGAAATGCTGATGGGAGAATAATAAAAAATTAAGACCAGCTAAAAAAAAAAATACAAATAAAAAGCTCAAGTTTAAGAAATCCAAGGACGTTTGAGGTTTGCGGGGGGTGCACAAAAAGAGGATTCTAAACATAAAAAGAAAAAATTAACTGTAAAGGGACTTTATGAACGTTTGTGAGTACTTCTTACCTTTTGAAGCAGTTGATGTAGGTGTGGAGGTTCATGGTTTTCTAAGAGAGTTGTCAGTTTGTATATAACGCAAACAACCGAAACACCGAATTATTATGTACGTATATCGTATATATATGAACTATAACTTTATTAATCACAAATTCCACATTCAATACAAAGTGCACTTCAAATTATGTGTTTACCAATACGATATGTCACTTGTTCGATGAAATATAATATTGCTAGATGCTGCAATACCGGTAGGTACTGTTACTCTAGCAAAACTTGGGTTGCTAAGGTAAAATGGACCTTATCGTCCGACTGGGTCAGACGTAGGTATTTTGAGTTGAAAGTCCCGTTACGACAAAACGGTCCTCCAGCCTAATTACGCTTGTTTGTGTCGAAGTTTACGTGTGGGAAGAATAACCACGGCCGCACAATCGCAATTATTGTTAGCCGGTAGATCCTTCAAAAACACACAGTAGTATGATAATGATTAGAAATCGCCCAGTAAAAGCTTTAATTCTAGTTGTATGCAAATTAACTCTTATTGGGCGAAACTGAGTAAGCTATGAAGAATTAAGTAGCTACAAGTACAAGAGGGAGTTTTTGGCCAAGGGGCGAGCTACATTTGGTTTGCAACCACGTGACAAGGCGGCCATGTTGGAGGTCAATAAAGAATAACTTTTTCTCGAAGAATTGACTAGAAAATATAGTTTAGTTCGCAGAGGAGAGAAATGATTTTGTTCTTAACCACCAACATGGCCGCCGTGACGTCACGTGCAGCAAGAAATTGGGGGATTACAAACATCGAGATTTGCATAATTTTCCATAACTTATCAAATCTGAATTTTAAACTGTATTCTGATTTTTTGGATACTTTTTCGTTTACGTATTCTTCAAAGAGCAGTTTATATTCTTCGAGAGCCATATATATGTATTTAGTAAAATCCAACTAGTGGTCTATTATTAATGCTGCGTTCTGATTGGTTGAGCTACTACTAGGCTATATGTTATAGCCTACCAGTAGCGAAAAGCGCGGGCTTTGAAAACCAAAACAGTGGCGGCTAAATCGGGTTTTGCTAGCGAAAGTTGTTTTGTCTTGATATTTTTGACCAACTAGTTGGATTTTACTAATGGGCTATTGACTCAGAGCCCCTTCGGGCTCGAGGAATAATTGTTAATTATGCTATCTTTTTAGTCAGTCGCACTGCACCAAATTGATAATGATTTATTGGCTATATCTTCGGCACAGATGAAGAACTCATCGTCATTAACATTTCAAAGTATAAATATTTTGTTAATAAGTCACGTAATATGTCACGTGACCAATGTTCTATTCTAAAAAATCTTAAATAATTGGTGGCGGGTTTAAGAAAAGAAATCTTTTGACTAGGTATATTGGGTATTTCTAGCACTTTACGCTTGGAATAACTGTCCATTCCTCTTTAATAAGAAATTAAGACAGAAAAAATCATTTTGAATTATTTAAAACTTTAATTTTGAACTTTTCGTAAATTAATTCCAAACTTAGAAAGTAAGGTATGTTTACCTTCTATCAGAAACACCAATATATTTACCTTAAAATTCGCCACCAATTCGCCAACTTCCTTCATTTTCAATTTATGGTCAGGTGAAATGTCACGTGACCATAACTAAACGTTAAGGCACAAGAAGACTTCAAGATTTACTTTTGGGGAAAAATTCATGTAGTTCTAGGTATCCCTTATTGCAAAGCAATCATATGCTCAGAACATTAAATCTTTGACCCAGGCCTTAAACCCCGTGAGGTCAGGACATTAAAAGACGCTTTAGAAAAACCCCAAGAAGGATTCTATCACGTATTTTGTGGAAAAAGTTTTGAAAATTATGAACTTAAGCCAAAATTTAAGCTCCAAACTTTGTAGTGCGTGGCGTTTTGGATCAATACGATAAACATGTCAAAATCTCCACGATATTACCCATGATACAAGAGAGGATAAAGGGGACAGAGAAGGCATCCCCCATACACACCCTATTCCATAGGTAATTCGTCTCGAGTTATTTTTAACACCACAGATCTCAAGGGGGATTAGACAACAGCCAATCACATAGCGCGAATGTGTTCCGCGTGGATGACCCACGCTGAGAGCCACGCGTCCTTCACGAAACGGACGCAGAACAAAATGGGGGAAGACGCGGAGAGCGATTTTGCTTTTCCTTTTGTCGACGAAAACGACTACAGCGAGATTGCTGTGAAAGCTGTGTCAGCGAAACGGAAATTAAAAAAGAATCGCCCTTCCTCTCTTGTATAGAGCTAATAGTACAGCAGGGAAATCCTTAACACACTGAATATTCTCTCAGGATCATTTATAATTTACAATTTCAAGAGAGCAATTTCTGGTTTGATATTTATTGCTTTATTAATCTTTTATTATTCAACAAAAATAACACTTGGCGTCCTACTTGCCTTTTTAGGGACTTTAAGATCCAACGGCGAGACGGCGACAAGAACTTCGCTTAAAAAGTGAATTTGAGTTTTTTCAGTCTTAATAGCGATTATTCCTACCCACTTACTTTGTCAATTGTAGGCGAACCCTCCTAAAGCTGAATTTCAAGGGACCATATTCAAGCTCAGAAAGAGAAATAAAATTTCGTCACTTTATCCCGAGTCTAAAAATAACTCGAGGCGAATTACCTATGGAATAGGGTGTGTATGGGGGATGCCTTCTCTGTCCCCTTTATCCTCTCTTGCCATGATATTAATAGGTAACAAGAGAACATAAAGGTCCTTTTATTATACTGAGCTTGATATCAGCCAAAGGTCACTTTTTGTACCTTGTTCACGCTTCCTTGCATGTAACGTTTAAAAATAGCTCCATCATGGCTGTAACACAGAGATATCGATTTGACACAACTTCTCCCAAGACCTTTGGTAACGAGGCGGACAATTTTGACTGTGGTGTTGAAATTAACCTCTAGGTACTGTTGTTTATCTTTCCTGAAATGAAAAGAAAAAATGGAAAAGAGAAGAAAAAAAAAAGCAAGAAAGAAATTCAAATGAAATTTAATTCATGTACCAACCATCCATTAACGTGTTCGAGACGTCAACAACAGAAAGAAATTAGATGCTGCTCGAGTAAGCAGTAACCAAATTATATAGAAATAAAACAACAACAGAATTAGTGATGAAATCTGTAAAAAAAAAAAGAATGGATTCATGGTGGTAGAGAGGAAAAGAGAAGAGTTTGTTGACCGAACTGGGGACACGATAGGTATCGAGAATGCCTCTTGAACTATTTTGAAGCTTTGGAAAATTGGTATTACGACTTACGCAAGTAAGTTCCAAGGTATCCAAGCACTTGAGCTATTGAGTCTGCCCTGGTTAGGCTCCCCGCCGGTGGCATGGGACGAGGCGGTTATCTGGGCATTAGTAATTCTACCATCCATCATGCCTAGCGGCAGGTCACAGGATAATTCTACAAATGGAAGAGAGGAAATTTTGTAAGGGCTTCTACTTGTACCCTGCCGAGAAAACTCGACCTTTAAAAGAACTTGTATCTTCTAACTTACGCGGAACATAATATGTGATAGAAGTCGTCGTTGGCCCGTCAAAGGTGAATTCACGAGAACCAGAAAATGAGCTGCATGTGTTCAGGGAGCCGTTATACTTGATAATAACGTACGTTGTTAAATCATGGAGTTTGCCGTCGGCGTGTGTTTTGTGTAAATCAAGATTAAATGTTACTTCAAGGTCGATGGTATCCGAAAAGTTGAATTGTCCAAACTGGAGAAGCAACAGAGAAAATGCGGTGAGACCAAAAGCCAGCATCTTCTCCGTGATAAATACAGTGTTAAGATGAAAAAACCTTTATATTCATAATTATCCTCTCTTACCTTGATAGTGACCCTGTCTGTTTCATTGACCACTTCCACATTAATAGACGCATCAACTTTGTTCCAGGTTTTTAGTCGAAGAACGGGAGGCAAAGGCCATTCGATCATCCCGCTTGCTACTTCTTCTGTGGTCAAGTCCGAATGAGATAGGATAAGGCGATAAATAACTTCACCCCTATATTTCGAAGAAACCAAAAATACATTACAAAAAACAACAACAACAAAAAGATTTGTGTAGATTCAGCTATCCAGTAAATTTAAACTACGAGCAAAACTTTAAACTCTATTCAGATAACGTTGAAAACTAATAAAAACCGGTACACATACTTGTCAAACGTATCGCTCATACATCCACTATCAGACCAAAATGAAATCATCAAATCAGGCCTGCTGACCGCTGATTGGATGCACTGCAAAAAAAGTCGAGTAGGCTCAACTAAAAATATTGAGTAAAACGTTGAATCCACAATGACTACACATATTGAGTAAAATGAAGTGTCAGTCATGAGTAAACCATACTCAATAACGGGAGTAAAAATTACTCACGTTTGAGTGCAATAACCCAAACAAGAGTAAATTCCACTCAATGCTCTGAGTACACATTACTCATCTGTGAGTAAACCCAACTCAATATAATGATTAACCTGGCTCAAGCAAAGTGAATCCATTACCAGCCGCTGTTCGGGAAAATGAGCCAGCACTCATCCCCCGAAAGAGCGGCTGGACGCGTGCGATTTCCTTTGTTAGTTTAAGCCAATCATGTTACCGCCTGCAGATTTTCGTCTGGCAAAGATTGTTGCAGAAATTATCACATCAAAACAGAAAATCCTTCCCGTTCTTCCTTGATCCATCGCATGGCGAAGCGATTTCGACGGCGCGGAGACACTAGGCGAAATCCTAGAGTCCGAAGGAACACAACGTTTTGTTCGATTGTTTGTTGTGAATGATTGTGGTTGGAGAGATTTTGCCTCTTCAAGGATCTTTTCAAGACACTTTAGGTGTCGATGACTGCGTTCGTTATAGATGTAACCGTCGACGTTTGTATTTGACAGAGGAACATTTAATACGCTGGAAATTCTGTCTGGTAAATCAGACACTTTTCCATTTAATTTTGTCCGCCTCCTAGAATCAGTCAGTTCGGACCCACAGAAGACGAAATCCAACATTCGAAGATCAGAGAAAATTAACTACATGTCGCCGTGTACAGAAATGTACCGAAGAATCTTTTTCACAAGGTATGGAAATGTACGGAAAAAGCTATTTCGAAAGTCATTTGGGAGGGTAAGGGAGCGCTTGATGCAATTTTGAGCCAAATAAATAAGAAAATTGGAGACCGGTTTCACTTCCAGTGACGCTTAAATTGTCAACTTTCCGATTACGTCATAGACAAGGTCAACGGGTCACGCGTCCAGCCGTCTCTCTTCGGGGAGGATCAAAGACCGGACCCGGGAGACGGCGGAAATCGAGCCTACAGTAACGCATTATTTTGAGTAAACGGACAGTTTACTCAAGGGTGTCCGGAAAACTAAGACCTAAGACCTAAGACCTAAGACCTAAGACCCGGAAAACTAAGACCCGGAAAACTAAGACCCGGAAAACTAAGACCCGGAAAACTAAGACCCCTTTTTTTTTTTTTTTTTCCCAGGGGAAATCA